TACTCAAGACAATCCCACCCTGCCCAATGCCTTTACTCTGTCAGAAAAAGGACAGGAGTATGCAAGGATGCCTGCTGGAACAGCCAAATGCTTTCATTTGTCTCTTTGCACCTACACCACCCTCAGCTCAGCCTGAGCTCCAGACACCACTCCCTGAAGATGTGCTTCCATTAGTGAAGGTCTGTGATCTGCAAACCTGCTCCCATACAGAACCAGTGCCAGAAGAGCAGAAAGCACAACAGAGAGTGTGGATGTGACTCCAAACTGGCTCCAGGCTTGTGGCTGGGGGGACTGGCTATCTCTGACAGCAGTCATCACCTCTCAGAGGTTTTTCTTGAGAAAACCAAGAGACAAATGCAATGACAACTGGTATTTCATTGATGTTAAGTAGTTCAGGACAGGAAGGTTTTCTTATTTTTTTCTTATTTTTAAGGTGGCATTATAGTATTGTAACTAACAGAATATTAAAAAGAGATATTAGAAGATTTTAATTAGGTATAAATTTTCCATCCTTTGATGAACATTTTCTCTTGTATTTTTTCACAAACTTCCCAGAACAATTTATTCAAATCTTATTTATTCAAAATTGTGGGTTTTTAATCTTTTAGTGTTCAATTGTAAAATCTTACATTCAAAAGTTTATGTCATATGACCTTTAATTAGGTCGGGAGGTATTTTTGCTTCCAAACAAACCAGGACCTTCCAACCAGAATGATCTGCAGGCAGTCCCACATTGACATACTGTAATATTCACTAAAAACCCTTTGAAACCATTTTCAAGACAAATAAAATAACAGTAATTTCACACATTCTCATGGTAATTTGTAGATGTGAAATCCAACACAATGCAATTCATCACTGAAATCATATCTTTAGAGCAGATTTTTGCTACTTTTTTCAAGATGTCGACAGCTTCAGATTTTAAACAACAGCTAGATGATTTTATTACTTGTGTGAAATCAGTAATTAACTATTCCAATTTGCAGCAAATATAGTATTTCAAAACAAAGATGAAAGCTGTGAAAACACATACAGCCTTTTCTCACTTTCTACAGTGTTTAAAACTGCTCTGGTATGTTATTTATTTTTACTATGGAAGATTATAAAAGAGCACGACTGATGATGATGGTAGGCCCTGTGATTGTTGTCTTCAGACTGACTACATCAAAAGCTTTAAAGTTTAGCTCATCAGTTATATTTTCTCTTCTTTGTACACCCTCTGCACCTGCAGTGAAAAAGCTGAGGCCAAAGTTCAGGCAGAATGGCCTCATACAGCTAAAATACAAGGAAGAGACAAAAACCCATTGAATTTATATAACTCATTTCTACAGTTACACATGAGTGTGATTTGGTGCTTCATAAATACAAAGTTTAAGATTAGAATAATGCCTGTCAAAGAACATCTAGTTCATACAAATAATTTTGAGAATACATTTGTATATATGCACAGGTGCAATGAATACTCTATATGTGTACAATGAATAGAACAATCAAAAGGAAGAAACTGCTCTGAGTAAAAACTGGACAGCACTGAAAGAAATAACAGGGCTTTCACCAACTCTAACAGGCCCAGGGGTTCAACTTCCAGCCTTAACTCTCATGTCAAGTGATTGACATTTTGCCAGCATATAATCAATTAAAAAAATAACCAAATACATACAGCTAAACAAATCGCTACTTTTAATGAAAACCCTCTGTCTTCAGCAGTGAGCAATTAATATCTAAAAATACTAGCAGTAGTACTGAAATCTTTGGGAATAAAAGAAAGGTAATTTTTTAACTAATATAAAATGTCCCAATAAAAATAAAATATATAAATGTCTTCCATTAAGAACAGAAGTATTTTAACAGGAATAAAGACTAGACACAAATCTGTCTATGCTTTGGAAAACAAACATTGTTTGGGAGTTTCCTCCTCTTGTTTAGTAAAAACTAAGTTACAGTAAAACAACAATCATGCCTAAAAATTCACAAATCCAAATTGCCCTTGGGCTCCAGTCAATGCAGCAACACCCATTTATCTAATTAAGCATAGAGCTGGTATTCACACACTCAGTGAGAAAATGAAAATGAACGCTGCAAACTGTCATGCTCCTTATTTTTCCCTTGTCTAGCATGCTACTGATGCTCATTTCAAAGCTAGCATGTTTTTTTCCAAAACAAGCCAAACAAAAAGAAAAATAAATTATTTACAAAAGTCCTAACTTCAAATAATGAAAACAAAAAGCAGAACAATAGCTAATAGTTAGTGCCTTTAAGCATATCCATATATAGCAACATGACCAAATTGTGTTCTGCTTTGTACTGCTAGTTTTAGCAAGCACATCTTGAAAGAGAACTGTTCACCACATCTCAGCAAAGACAAATCTAGGCACCACATTTGTTTTATAATAGTCTTCTCCTCCTCCTCCCTGAAGCATATGAAACACATCCAGTAGTTTGAACAGTGAGTATTTGCCTGAGCATTATTCTTTCATACACATTGCAGACAATTTCTGTTTTGAAGGAGTTTTTTACTGAATGGCACTGATGCCTTGTGAAGAATGCCTACACACTGTCTACCAAGGCTAAATTTTAAATTTACAGATTTTATGGGCTGCTCCTAAAACCAAATTTAGCAGTTTAGCTTTAATATCCTATGTTCAGAAGCACTAGCCATCAGCTGCTGCCAGGCACAGGCTTCAGTCAGTCTCTGTTTCACATGTGAAGGTAACCCTGCTCTGAGGATGTCACAGACAATAAATTTGTCCAAACATCCAATCTACTTCACATCTGACACAGAAGGCAGTCTACAGTACTGTACAAACAAAATACTGTACAAGCAGGTTTTGTGCTGAGCTCTCTCACACACATGGACAGCTTGTGGCTAAGCCTGAACTGTTTTTCCAGCGTCTGCTGCACTTCAGTGGTTGGAACTGGAAAGGGAAAACAAGCACTTGTGTTCTACCTGCACCACAAAACATTTTCTGAGGGTCACATGGCTTCAGTTACCCATGACAGATTGCTATACAGGCTTAATTCTTAAAAGTTATCATCACCTCATGATTTGCCTTCTTTTTTTTTTTCCTCTCTAAGGGTGAGGAGAGGGGAAGAGATCCTGTTTCTAACAAGACTCGAGCACTGCAGCTACACTGGCTACTAAAAGGGCTGGCCAGGGGGATTTCCATGGACACCTTGCAGGCTCTCTGTAAGCTAACAGCACTTTCTCATCCTGAAGTTTAAAGGGACTTTTTTAAAAACTAACTTTACGTTTTAAACATAATTAGAGACCCAGCCTGAACTATCTTTACTGAGGCAGAGTCCTACCTCATGGCCTCCAGGAAAACTTTGGTTGAATGAATCAATCATAACCATTAGTCTTGGAAAAAAACAAGATCTGAAGCTAAATGTTTTGATATATCAGGCACTTATGTTTTTTGGTAAGAAAAAAACCCTCTTAAAGAAAAATCATGCACAATTCAAAAGCATATAATCTATTTTACACTGCACTAATAAATGCTAAATAAATATTCCCTCTGTCTCTTGTCAGCCAGCTTTCAAAATCATTGTATTCTATACATACCGGTTTTCTTAAACCAAATCAAATGTAGTTTTGAGTCTCTAGAAGGGCAAAAACATGCTTTGGTTCATAAACATGTTCCATGTTGCAACGGAAATGCAGTCACAGTTTAAATAATTTAAACTCTATAGCTACAAATTATGACAAATACACAAAGTACAAAATAGTAAGGTGAAGATTTTTTTTCTAGAAACCCACATTCCTGCAGTTCAAATACTTTTAATATTAAATTGTTTCTATTCTATTTTCCTCTCCAACATAAAATATATTCCTCATGTTCATTCTCATTGGGTCTCTTGTTTTCTTCATGTTCACAATTAGCTTTTGATAGATGTCTGCAGTAACAACAAAAAAAATACATAGAAGCTTTTCTAAATAAGATGGATATACACTCAATTTAATTTTATTAATATTGTGTTTAATATACACTCAGTTGACTGAGAGATTTGATTTCCCTCAGCCATACTACTTGTTATGAAAATCAGCAAAGTGTGAGAGGCAGAATGGTAAAATGCCAAAGGCAATATAATGTGTGGAAGCTTTAATAAGACATTAATCTTTGCTTATATGAGTAGATTTTGCTCCTCTGAACACGACTATTGAAGTAAATAAAATTGTTCCTGTAAGAAGTAGTAAGCAACATTTTCTAGAAGCAATTCACCAAAGCCTGGTGTCTTCAGCATGTTGAGACCAAGGTGATTTTGAGCTACGGATTACCCACAGCTTCAAAGGCAAGCCCCAAACAAGTGGACATGCGTCAACCAATACCTGACACACCATGACAATACAATTTACACATCATTTGGAGACAAACAATTCAAGCTGCATTTTGTAATCCTGAATATCACAAGCAAATTATTGTATGGATGTAATTCTATGATAATATTTCAGGCAAAGAGCATGTATTGCACAGAGGGATTATACTTCCCTTACTAAATATCTCCTGCTTGTTTTAAAATTTCACTAAAACATTTCAGCTGAAGAGGTAGTCTGATCTTTTTCCATGTATATCAGAAATTCTATTCTAGTAAAAATGCATGAAAAATCTGTGGCAAATTTTCTTAAGTATCAAACTTTCATACACATTCTGCAAAGATATTACAGTGCTCTTACAAGGAGTTTAGAGATAGTACAGCAAATTAATAGTAGTTTAAAGAACTTACCTACTGGAAAAAAGAAAATTGTCTAGACAGATACAAATACATGTCTTTTAAAGTTCTGTACACACCTACACCTTTAGCCACAATAAGTTATGAAAAAAACTAAACCACTAGACCATTAAACCATTAGACACAGTTTCTCATTTCTCACTGCATATGAGAAAACATCCTTACAGCATTCACAAATACACTTGTCAAGAAACACACAGCTCCGTGCAGTGTACAAGAAAACACAACAATTAGACTGCAACATGAAAAAGAGAGAAAAGAGAGTTTCTCACCCCTCAAAACAAAACTGGAACTTTGGTTTACAGGAGCGGCTATGCCCATATACCCTCCTCATCATCCTGTGTGCCAGACATGAGGAGATGCACAGAGAAAGAGTTGGCATTGGAATAAAAGAAAGAAAGAAAGAAAGGTTAGTTACTTTGGTGCATATAAAATACAATTTTCTTGTCTGTTAACAACATGACTTTTTTTCTTTAATGTAAGCCAGTGAACACAACTGAACAAGCTTGTGTAACATATTCAAGAATCTGCATCTATAGCAACCGAAAAAACAACAACAGTGATGTAAAATTTTTTCCCTCCCAGTTAAAACAGCGTGTAGGAAGATGATTATGAGATTAAATATTAAAAGATTATCTATTTTTTAATTGCACGCAATTCAAACCAACATTGAGAGCAATGAAAAGGTCAAAACTTTAAGTAAACAAAAAAATTAATCAAATTGTCTTACATTTTGTTAAAACATACAAAACTGCTGAAGAACAAAAAAATTTATCATTAGCAAAGTAAAAGTGCACTTTTCCAAAATGCTATCAATTAAATTTATCTTTTCAACATGTGTTACACACTGCACATTTTTAGATGCTATTAAATAGTTCTTCCCTTTTTTTCCAGTTTTGAACCATTAGGTTTATTAATTTCGAGTTTTAGGGATAAATAACATTAATGACAAATACAAAAATTCACAACACACAGAGGTGTGCACGTGCACAGCTATCTCCATACACAGTTAACTGTGCCAAATTATGTGATACTCAGCTGCTAGAACTTAGAGGTGAACAGCAAGGTGTTTTTCATTTAACTCAGGATTTCAAAATCAAATAAAATCATATTATTTTAGCTATCCTTAAAATTCACCCATTAATATCTTAGAAACATCAAAAAAAACCTCATTCGATAATTTCAAAACCTTGAAGTTAGCTGGTGTAACATATTGCTGGCACTTAATTAAATCTAAAAATTTAATACAATGAGTGGTAATTAATTATGATTGAAATGGACAGGAATTTTAGCCTGAAAATATACACTGCCAGTATCACTACTGTTCCTAACCCATTCTTGGAATAAAAAAGAGCTCCCAGATGTCAACTGTTATTAAAAACCAGATGTTAAGATAGATGTCTTGCATGTTGCTGAATTAAGTAAAGAAATCTGACAGTCCACTATAAACTTAGCTATCATTTAACACAGAAGAAATGTGGGTAATTTTTTTCCAGTTAACTTGGAACACATCTGAGTTATAAGGTCTGCACAAATACACCACAAAGCAAAGGCAGAGTAAGGCCTGAATATCCTTATTTATTTTTGAAACAAAGGCACAAGTTCTGTAAAACTTCCAATGAGCTGGGTTTGCCCCACTGAAAACACAAGTTATTCCTCTGAATTCTGCAGGAGCCACTCCTGGTCAGGCCCACTAATGCTAATTGAACTGAACTTTCAAGCTGACAAGAGGTTTTGCCAGAGTAAAAGTTGAAGAAAGAATGAAGGATTTCTTTTCCACTGAGTAGTTTGATCCTATTTCACTAACATAATGCATTAGGTTAATCTTTGGTGATATCCTTAAAAACAGCAAGAAATCAACAAAATGGACAATACAACATGTTTTGAAGTGACTCCTCCCCTAACTGCGGACAGCTGGCTTGCTGTTCAGAGTATTGCAGTTCTTCAAACAGTCAGACATTCATTTTTACTTCAATTATTTGTGCCATCTCCTTTTGGCAGAATTCTAGAAGAGTTGAAAAATCAAATATTGTCAAATATTTGTAAAGAGTTTTATGGGAAATTAAAGACAAATATAGTTTGACACTGATCCTGTTATACAAAAAGCAATAAATTAAAAGCTGGAGCTCAGTTAACGTCAATCAACATGCCTTTATTGAGTACCTGTTCTGTCAAAATAACCTTCTATCTTTTCCAATTACAGAGAGACTCTTTTTGATAAGGTAAGTGCTTTGAAATAATATGCTAAGATTTCTGTAAGGCATTTGATTATGTGCCATATGACACAGTGTCAGAACGATTAGCTCTGTACTGAATAAATGTTTGCTGGAGAAGGAAGGGGACCTATAGATATCTTTCTCATCCCAAACTTGTTCCATATTCCCATGATCTAAAAGAAAAGCCTGACAGTCTTCTTGGAAAAGTGAACAGATGTGGAATTATCTGAATAAATGTTATCAGACACAGACACATATGCCTGAAATCATGAATCCACTATCATAATTGGAAAACATATAGGGCAGGCTTAGAAGAAAGGGAACTGTTCTGAAATCAAGGACATCAAAAAGGTCTTTACAGGTCATGGTGGAAATGAACATGTGGTACAATGTTGGATTTACCAAGAAAAACACAGGCAGAGAAAGAAAACTCTTTCTCAAAGAACTCAAAGAACTTTTGCTGCATCTCTCTGTACAGTAGCATAAGACCATTAAGGGAATTTCACATCTGGTCCTCATGTCACACTCTTGTGAATATTTGAAAGACTGTAAACAGATCAGGAAACAGCTAGAAAATTACTGAAAAATAAACTTGGCAGTGAGAAACAGGAGACTCAATCGAAATGATCCTTCAGAAAACATTAAAAGATTTTCTGATCATTATTAAGTAACACAGAGAAAAGGAAAAAGATCTTTTCTCCAGTAAAAATCATCTATATAGAGATTTAGAGGATGTAGTTACACTGCAAACACAGGACATATTTTTCAGTAATTTATCATTTTTGGATTATTTGAAGATTTCCTATCAAGTCTTAGACACTTTCTAAAAGATATAGTTAATTACATTCAAAATAATTTTTAAATTATAGATTTGATGAAGAAATTATTAAGTAGTCCACATTATGATCACAGTCCACTTAATCTTCAACAGCTATAATTAATAAAAATCGTCTTAGATAATTTTTTCCTCACATCTGTTTCAATGAAAATTGTGCCACGATCTATCTTATCCTGTACATAAAAATTTATTACATATTTTCCAATTTTTTGATTAGCACCTTCATAAAATTAAGCACAGTGTTCTGTTTTGACATAAAACTGAATTTTAAAATAATTTTAAAACCCCCGAAAAAACCCCAAACAACATCACTGTATTTTAAACTTTTAATAATAAGAACAATCTCAAAACCAGTCTCAACTGGTGTAAATCCTAACTCACAGTTAGAAATTTTTCTGTATGGATAGGAGCAAGTGCCCAAAAGCACTGGATGAAAAGTCCATGAGAATCAGGACTGTAATTTTGAATAAAGGTTCCATGAATAAAGTATTGTATCAAGAAGCTAAGGTTTGTTTCCTCAGTACAAACAGATAATGGAGGGAATACAGAATTCTTCACTGAAGTTGTGAGACAAATAAAATTCACTACTTATTTTTGCATTCTTGACACACAGTGAAGCAAAATAAAAGCCTTATCATTTATTAATATTGGAACAGAGGATTCCAGAAGTAAGCTTAGTTTTTCATATCAGTGTGTGTATCCTTCAGAATCATTAATCTATGGCTCTTTCAAACAATAAACTGCAATCAAGCAATTTTTCATTAATGTTTGTGTACATTAACTGCTTTTTAAACTTGGATCTTTCATTGGTTTATAAGGTCAAGAATAGCAACTCAGTGACAAAAACTGCAAAAGCAAAATCTCAGTTACTGACAAGTGAAACAGGAAAACACCCAAAATTTGAGAGATACCATTTGACTTGAGAAATTAGTATACACACTTGTATAACACTGTTAACAATTTTTAAAATATTGAATGGCTTGTATTTTTAGGACAGACATCCCAGAATCTAATTTGGACCTGTATTTATAGTAAAGTGGAAAAATTTCAAATACTATTAAGGCTTTTTACAAATCATTGATTTTATTTCATACTTTTGCTTTTTCCTTTTCTTTTTTTGATTTCTGTGCTGCTATTTACTATAATTGCCTATCTTAAAAACAAGTATCTGCTATCACTAAATGCGATTAACTGCTCTGATCCAATTGCCACAAAACCTCAAATATGGTTTCAAAGTATGAAAATGAGGAAGTTAAAAAACAGTGCTTGGAAAACACTGCACACAGATGTAGAAGGCTTGTACAGAGATATTTTCTGCGTTTTTTTATTGGAGTATATCTCAATGCAAGCTTTGCAGGCAGATTTCTTAGCAACCAGTTCTCTAAGGCTCACCAGTGTCAGCAGTAAATTTGAGACAGTGGCTTTCAGGGAGCAGGGGCTACCTCACACAGCAGGTTAGAAACAAAGGAGAACTCTAATCATGGTCTGCACAATTAGGTCTAGCTACAAAATTTGAACAATCAGATGCCAGAAATTGTCAGGCCAGTCATTGCCATTCTGCATGTAGCACATTCTTGATCACTGGTGAACATGGAGTAACTGCAGGAGATAATATTTGTCTTCCAGCAGCAACAGATCTACGGCCACTACAGTGGTCCTGAGGGTCACCTCTGTACAATACACCTGCCTTGGGGGTTATTTTGATTTAATCTTGCCCAAAACTCTTCCCTTTAGCAATTTCACAGTGTGGGAGGACTACCTGGACTGTATCTTTCATTTAAGTTGAATCAAACAGGAACTTGGGGTGCTCAATCCAACACCACATCTGGATATGAACCATCTGCAACAAGTGGGAATGACCAGGAGGATTTGATTCAAATCTGGATTCTTGATGAGAACTAAAACGCTAATGTAGGTACACTCAAAGACTGCAAAAGACTGCATTACTACGTGGCCACCTCATAAATGTTAGAGCACACCTCATATGTTAGAGCACAATCCCCTGCGCTACTGTGGCATGCAAGTATCTTTATAAAATCTATTCTTAAAAAAAAAATAAATAAATCCTGATCTCCTTATGGCTTTCGCAATAACAGGCAACATTAAAAACTTGATGAGTTAAGCTTTTCTGGCTCTCTTCCCTCAATAGGAGACCCTTCCTGACAAGGCTCATCACATTTTCCTTTCATGTCCTGCATGCTAAGAATTAATGTCTTAACTTGGGTTAAATAAATCTAGCAATAACCTGCTCATCTCTGCAACTAACGTTCTGATGAGTGATTTA